TGTATGCAACTTACTCAATCTTTTTTTATGTATGTATACACACATAAGGCCTATTTACTGTAATAACAATGGGAAAAAAATTATCTGACCGTTTTCAAGAGTGGAAAACCTTGAATTTTGAAGAACTTAATTACTTTTAAACTTTCTTCAAAATTCAAGGTGTTCCCCTCTTGAAAATTATTATATCAATGAACCCAGGGAAAGGGATGTTCTTCCCGGGAAAATGTTGCTTTCTAAATGGTGGACAATGAGATTTCCCAACATCTGAAGTATTTTTTAATGACTTTAATTTAAAAGACACCTCAGAAGTCGGGAAAGCTCATTTCCCGCCATCTAGAAATCGAAATTTTCCATGGGGAGGAATGTTGACCCCACCACCTAGATTTGATTCCAGATCTGCATGATTCATATTCCCATTCATCTTATAAACAGTGGCGTAACAGGCGGGGCAGGGGGAAGACTGTTCCACCCCCCCCCCCCACTGACGGTTTTTACCGGGCTGACCAAGCCGTCGTACCGGGCTGGGTAAGAAGAGAAAAGAAAGAGGGAAGAGGGAGGGAAAGAGAACGAAGGGGAAAGAAAAAGAAAGGAAAAAGGAAAAGAGAAGAGAAAAATAAAGACAAGAATAAAAAGGAAGATATAATGAACAGATATCACAAAACCCCTGCCTGCAACCCCTTCTCCACTTCAAAAAGTGTCCATAGCGCATTTGATCCATGCCACCAGGTATTCTCCGCAGTGGCGTAATCACTGGGGGACAAGGGGAAAATATCCATCTGTGGAAAGTCTTTCCCCATTGAATGCCCTTTTCACCCGGGAAAGTAACCTGAAAATCTCAAATTTTAAATCGCATATTTTGTTGAGGTAGGCCAATTTCCTCTAAAAATTGCACATTTTAGGGAGTTTTGATCAATTCCGACGAAATTAGAATTTAAAAAACAAAAATTTTTCGGGCGCTTCGTGCGCATTTTTTTTTATGTTCAAGCTTGTGCTTGCTCCCCTTTGCCTTCTAAGTTATAACACATAGTCCCAAACTCAAGAAAGAAAATATTTAAGATAAATCGTTTTACCTATTAAAGAAGGGCCTCAATGTGTAATGATGTTGAAAGAATATATTTGTAATAAATAAAGCCATAAGGAAAATGCTTATATTCAGTTAAAAAAAAAAAACGAGTGTGGCCATATATTACATAAGAGCATTTCTTGTTGAGGTAGGCCAATTTCCTCTAAAAATTGCACATTTAGGGAGTTTTGATCAATTCCGACGAAATTAGAATTAAAAACACAAAAATTTTTCGCGCGCATTTGTTAGGGTTAAAGCTTGTGATTGCCCTCCTTTGCCTTCTAAGTTATTTAAAAACATAATAGTCCCAAAACTTCAGAAAGAAAATTTAAGATAGATCGTTTTACCTAAAAGAAGGGCCTCAATGTGTAATGATGGTGAAAGAATAGGCCTATGAATTGTAATAAATAAAACCACGATGGAAATGCTTATATTTAGTTTCAAACATACGTGTGTGCCCTATATTAATAATAATGTCGTATTGTTTTCTATATTGGGGGGGGGGGTACCGTATCACACCAAGTCATAAATTACTAACCGGGAAAATTATTACCTGTAAAGTATATAATTAATTAAGTAGTGGTAATCAATTGAATTGTGATCAACTTCTGGTGTGTGTTATAACAGTAATATTGTTTGTTAAATCTGTAATCAGTTGGTGAATTCGCTTTGCATACACGTTCGTCAAAATATGCATGTTTTGTCCTCCAATGCAAGACGGTAAATAACGTCACCACGGAAATGTGTATTCTATTGTTATTTTTTCAATGAAGGGCGTTTACAGTTAACTTAAAGTGCTTGGTTGTAGAGAAAGATTATTATTACTGTATTATCATATTATTCATACTGTATAGAGTATTTGAAGATTTCTAAAATATCTACAATATGGAAAGACAATATCAAATAAATTGAAAGATAATAAAAATAAAATTATTACAATTTACATCATTCAAATTAATTAAAAATGTGTTTATTCAACAAAACATAAAGCATCAATAATATTGTAAGCTCCAATCATATTAAGATAAATGTAGTAAAATACACTGGTTTGGCAGTATATTAAAATTATCAACCTTCTTCAATGATTATATCGACTATACGGTAGCATTATTGTAATACAAAATATATAAAATTTGGTTTGATTATTAACATATAAATGCATAATAATGTACATTACAAATCGTCTCAAGACTCATCTCTTTAGTTTATTTTAATTTGCAAATTTCTAGCGCATAGAGACCTATGTATTTTGCTCTTTACAAATCCAAATTATTATTATTATTATTATTACATTCGTACGGTTTCAAATATACTGTACAGTACAGTATATTTCCGACGAAATATATGAATCTTAACTAGGCCTATATAGCAATAGATTAACCACACACACAAAATAGTAAATTCCATTTCACTTGGTTTGATTATCAAAATATAATTACATAATAACGAACATTCGTTTGTTTCAAATGATAAAACGAAAAAGGGGCCTATATGAATCTGAAACATTAATATTGTATTTTGGAATAAAGTATAACTAATTAATCTTGCATTATGTAGACCAATGTATAATAAAGCGTAATTATTATATACTGTACGTTTCATTCCAGAAAAAAGTGATTGATTGGTTACCGTATTTAAAATATCTTATAGGCCTATACTAACACGATTATGTAAGTGGGCCATATAAAAATAGTAGTAATGGTAAATAAAATTTAGTGATTTCAACGGAGCTATCATTAGGCGTAAACGAATGAAAAAGGAAGTGATCGCCGATCTTAACTTTGTTATTGACGAGGACCACATTGCTCCAGGATTCCTTCGTGGTGATGTTGTTGTCGATGGCTACCGTCACATCATCTTCAACTGCCCATATGTGAAGCCTACTTGAAAGATCTACTGTTTGGTTAGTTTTACTTGACCTATTATATTTTTGTTCTCTCTCTATATTCGTAATATTGAGGATGAAAGCCCTTTTTCGTTTAATATATAAGCATTGATTTCAAATAATGTGATTGTTTATATTGTTTGTTTATATTTCAACGTGAAACTGAATTATATATTTTTTATTCTACATATTTATTTTTGGTTTTCAGGTATGTTCAAGTTGGTAAAGGATCCCTTTTATCAACTGTTCTCCATTCATAGCTTCATCAGGTCAGGCACCACCACCAAGCAGGTTCCTCTGGTCTTCGTGGTCATGTCTGCCTTTAAGATGGTTAATTATTGGTTTAGCAGTATATTAATCAACATGTAAATGCAACTATGTAAATCGTATCAATAATACAGTATTAACATAAACATCGATAGATACTCTATAAAAATCATAAAATCCATTGGTTTGATTATCAGCATAATAACATAATAATGTTAAATCATTACAAGTATTAGTATTACTAACTTGCAAAAAAATATTATAACTAACACAAATGTAATAAAATCCACTGTTTTCCCACAAGAAATCATGGATACAGTAGCAATAGATTACAATAGGGAGGTTAATTAACCACACACACATAGCATACACACAGCTCTGTGCCTATTTGGCGTTCCATACAAATATATTACGGCCGAACAAGTGTACGGCCGGACCGGACGTCATATATTAATCAACATGTAAATGCAACTATGTAAATCGTATCAATAATATTAACATAAACATCGATAGATACTCTATAAAAATCATAAAATCTATTGGTTTGATTATCAGCATAATAACATAATAATGTTAAATCATTACAAGCATTAGTATTACTAACTTGCAAAAAAATATTATAACTAACACAAATGTAATAAAATCCACTGTTTTCCCACAAGGCCTAGTACTATACTACTTTCTATTCTAGGTCTACCCTAGGTAGAGGTAGCCTCTCTTAAGCCTACTAACTAACTACTACCGTACTACTATCTGGGCTTAGGCCTACCACTGAACCAACATGCCTAAATATAAAATTAGCCACTACCACACTAGGCTAGGCCTAGCTAGGGCCTAGCCCACGACCTAGCCTAGGAGGATCGGACAGGTACTACTACTATCTAGGCTAGTACTAGCCTAGGTTATTCATTCAGCCTTACCATTTGCAATTACTGTTGCTTCACTACAGTAACCGGAACACTTAGACACTTAAATTTGCGTGAGTGTAGATGTTGAACTAAAATATAATATTGCCTGGTTTAAGAAAAGAAGCACATGGATGCTGGAAGAATGGTAACCAGTCTGTACTAGGCAAGCTGGCCGTCCTTTTTTTTTTCTTTGAGCGTGTGCAATAACTGGGTTCTCTCTCATCGCGTTGTTATCGCCGCGTGGGAGCATTTAAATATTATCATTTACACGAACTGGCACGACATACAGAGTTGATTGCATCTTGAAAATGCAAAATATTTTCAGTATTACCTGCACGTTTTACTCAATTCTGCAATTCTGAGGTTTGGTAAGACAACTACGGCAAGATTATACCTCCAGCTGCATGGACAGACCAAAATTATCCAGTACGTACCAATAAACAGCAGAAAGTGGAATCACTGAAAGAAGGGAGTAATGAAGTATTGGAGACAAGCAGCCTCTCTTATTGTGGCTGCAAATCGTACAAGAAATGTAGCCAACATTCCACAGACTGTATACGGTAGCACTGAAAACCCATCAAATCCAGGCAATCAGCAAGGCCAAAAAACTAATGCCAATGATAAAGGCATCGTACGGATTCCCCTCAAAAATGACGTCGATTACTCGGTGTTGTTGCTGCAGCGAGCTCAATCAAGTACCTTCTTTGCAGGTGCTGAAGTCTTTCCAGGTGGTGCTGTTGATGATGCCGATTTCTCTTTAGACTGGGTTGAGCTTTTTAAAGAAGCTGGTATAAACTCAATTGTTGACTTTGGAAAGATGCTTACAATCCAGGGGGAAAGACCATTAGTTTTTACAGAAAAAAGAGAGACATCATCACCATCAACAATACCAAGTGAGCTAGCATTTCGAATATGTGCCATCCGAGAAACCTTCGAGGAAGCCGGAGTTCTAATGCTGAAGTCGTTCCAGGATGTCCAAAACAACCAATGCACAGAGGTTACATTTGCAAAGAATTACCAGCACCCAAGTCTGTCAGAAAGCAAAATTGATGAATGGAGACACCGTGTTCATGAAGATGCACATCAGTTTATACTGTTGTGTCGGTCTCTTCAATGCATCCCAGATGTGTGGTCATTAATGGAATGGAGTGATTGGTTGACACCTTCTACAAACAAGAAACGTTATGATACCATGTTTTTCATGTGCTGCATGAAGGATGTGCCTGAGGTAAAGCATGATGCAAAAGAAACAGTACAGGTGAAAGTAAGTCTGAAAATATTTCTGTAATCATGTACATGGTGGTATGTCGATTGTGTGTGGTGGGTGTGATTGCTCCATATACAAATTATAATAAACAAATGATTATAAATGAATTCAATCCAACTCGGCCACAAGTCAACTCGGCCACAAGTCAACTCGGACACAAAGAATTTGGCTACGGTCAACTCGGCCACAAGTCAACTCGGCCACAAATCAACTCGGCCACAAGTCAACTCGACCACAAGTCATTTACTGGTACTACACTTTGAAGGAGTAATTCATCAAGTATAAAATACTAATTCTTTAAGTATTACTATACTTATTGCTGTTATTATTGTTGTCATTGTTGTTATTATTATTGTTGTTTTTATACCGTTAGTTTTAATATTACGGTAATTATTAGTCTTGGCATAATTAACATTATATATTGTTCAAATTTTTGCTGTACCATATAAATAATAAATAATTTTCAATTTATTTTTATTATTATTATTCTTATTATTCTTATTATTCATTAGTCTTAGTATTATTATTTTAATAATAGTAATTTAAAAAGTTATTGTTATTGGTGTTTTATTGGTATTTTTCTCATATTATTATTATTAATATTATTGTCGTTGTTGTTGTCACCTCTATTATCGATATTATTACCCTATTATTACTAAGTAGGCCTATTATAAGTATCATTATTATTATTACCTATTAGTATTACTATTTTTATAAAAATAAACATTATCTTTAATTTATTATTGTTGTATTATTGCTATTATCACCTTCAATATCGTTATTATCACTAATTAGTTATTAAAATTGATATTTAAATATCTTTATTATTACCATACTAATATTATTAGTATTGTTAAAATAAATATTACTATTACTGTTGTTGTGTTGTTGTTGTTATCACCTTTATTATTGTCATAATGACTAATTAGTATCATTAAAGTAAATATTACTAATTTATTGTCATTATTGTTGTTTAATATTGTTGAATTAGAACGTTGTGAGTAAACAGAAGACGAACACATTAATAAATAACTCTTTTTAATTCATAGGCAATAGCATTCAAATATCTTTTGGTAGTGTGGTAGTCCTGTTTTACTAAAATATACTCGTACTTTATTTCAATCATATATTGAAGAAAAAGGATGCAAAAACTGAGATTTACATTAAAGAACTTGTGGCCGAGTTGACTTGTGGCCGAGTTGGCTGTAGCCCAACTTTT